GCTCTTCTGATCACACCTTCTAACGCGATGTTGAACAGCAGACACGAAAGTCCATCACCTTGCCGTAACCCGCTTCGAGATTCAAAGGGACTCGAGAGTGTCCCCGATACTCGAACAACGCACATCACTCGATCCATGGTCGTCTTGACCAATCGCGTCAGTTTATCCGGAAATCCGTTCTCATGCATAATGTGCCATAGCTGATCTTGATCGATTGTGTCGTAAGCGGATTTGAAATCGATGAACAAATGATGTGTGGGCACGTCGTAATCGCGGCATTTCTGCAGAACCTGTCGAATCGCGAAAATTTGGTCCGTGGTAGCGCTGGCACCCATGAATCCCGCCTGGTATTGCCCCACGAATTCTCATGCAAATGGTGACAGGCGGCGGCATAGAATTTGGGAGAGTACCTTGTAGGCGGCGCTCAGCAGTGTGATCGCGCGGTAGTTGCAGCAATCCAACTTGTCGCCCTTTTTGTAGATTGGACATACGACACCTTCCATCCACTCCTCCGGTAATATCTCCTCCTCCCAAATCTTGGCAATTACCCTGTGCAGCGCTCTAGTCAGTGCTTCACCACCGTATTTTAATAGCTCACTTGGTAGTTGATCTACACCAGTTGCTTTGTTGTTGTTCAGCCGACCGATCTCCTCCGCAACTTCTTGAAGATTATGGGCCGGTAGCCTGTCGGTGACTTGGCAATCTGCTACATCTCAAATTCCACCAAACAGTGGTATAGCGAAAATGGCGTCACAGTGGTTCCCAAGGAGATGAATCTGGCTAATACTCAGGAACTAAGGAAAACTAGTCAATTGTAAAGCACATACTGAAGAAAAATGGTGGAACTGCAATTGACCTGAAGGATTTCAAGCGGAAATGGAATTTGGCAGCGAAACAAGTGGGAACAGGGCTCGTACAAAAGATGATGGGCCGTGTACAAATTGATGAATTATGAACTGAAATGTTGTATTTTAACTCAATAGTTATTGCTCTGCTGAAATACAGTGATTCAGTGCCAAAAATATCCATATCTTTGTTATTAGCTATAATTCACACATGGGCCAAAAACTGGCTCACCTACCCTGATTAAGAACGAACAAGTTTTCATCAACGTTAAAGTATGACTGCTCAGTGTATTGATGTGGAATGACGCTAGTAGGATTGGGCGATCTTGGATCGATCTTTTTCATCCCGATTTCCGATTTTTCGGATCGATTCTTTGTCCACGAAAAGATCGAAAAAATCGATCTCTTCTTTCGATCTTCAAAAAGCAATAGGTATTAAAGTTTGTAACTGTATTTACATCGAAAAAACGATTTACTCTCACCCCAGACTGCGAGGTAAATTTAAGGAACATAATGTCAACGTCAGCATTGCTCCCTACAATGGCGTCACTATTTGCGTTTGCCATATTTATGAATACAGGAACATTTGAAGGTTTTCGCTACCTCCCTCTTGTGCTCATTGCTACTTACCGTCACGACATTTAATGAAATAAAAAAATAATTGAAAGGATTTCTTGGGGTACCAACGTAAACAGGGTATACATAGTCCGAAAGTGAAGCTAACAATAACAAACCAACATTTTTGGCTAGAGCGAAAGTGAGGATAGCAAACTAAGCACTTGGGATTATGCAAGTGTGCGAGTTATAAACGTCAGAAAAGTCAATTGAAATAAAAACCATAAGATCCAAGGGGTAGGTCACTCCGCACACCAATCTTGGGTCATCTTTTTTGTCAATGTGCCTCCAGTGTGCCGGTCATAGAGCAAGCTGCGATTGTTTGTAAAATACCCATCCCGGCAACCCAGTATTTCTGACACCTTGAATGTTTTGGTTTGAAATCGCAAGGATAAATCGTATTGAGGATGGCGCGGGAAGTGGCGGGTGTTGGTGTTTTATGTTTTAGGGTTTTATAATGCCCTCAAAGACAGACCAGAAGCCTAGCCTATCATGCTGTGAAAAACAACGGTCTATCAGCGGCCGGAAAGAGATGGAACCGGTGGAGAACATTGTTGGAGACCGACTATAGTCGATGATGAATAGACTTCTGTAGTTTGTTTTACGTGAGTTACATCGTTGTTTGAATTAAGGGTCGAGAAGCTGAATAACTGCCTCTTTCTCTTGAGTCCACTCTATAACCTACATTTCGTATTTAGATCTATAAGTGAACTGCTGGTCTGAGTTCCTCTGGTATATTCAATTAGAGGATGTTCCTAAATATACAGTCAAACAGCACGTAATGTTGTGAACAACTTCAATGACAGTTATCCAGCAGTGCTCCAATTTAATTTACAACAACCTAATGCCTACGAGATTGTGCCGAAGGTGTGCCGAGGGATGTGCCCTAGCTGTTCCGACTGCTGTAAGTCATATACGGCACAATGTGCTGAGTGACTTACCCCTTGATAAGATCGATCTATCAAAGATCGATTCTTTGGTACCGATTTAATCAGTGGATCGATTCTAGAGCCAAATATAAGATCGATCCGTCAAGATCGATCTTTCTCTGAATATCGCCCAATCCTACACTGATAAAATTCGACACATTATTATTGACGAATTTTCATGTAAAATTCCACATGATTTTCATATGTCCACACATAAATAGAATCCACTCAGAAATACACATGAAATGTATGAGTCAAATGAATAGTATGTGTGGCTACACATGAATTATATGTGTACACATAAGAACTATGTGTCCGACACATATATATCGTTTGTTTATCACATTGCAAAAAATCATGTGTGGGACACATAAAAATAATCATTAAATTTTTATTAGTGTAGACGCTAGAAAATGTTTGGAGTGGTCAAGACCTAAAGAGGAAGAGGTGAAAATTGGCTTCTTCCTCTTTTATTTCTATCTCTATCTCTATCTTACGCACATGAAATCGGCCAATCAGGAGCTGGTTCGCGTTTGACAGAAAAGTGGTTCATTCGTATTGTCACCTCTTCTCTTAGGTCAAGACAGCAATCCAAGGGGTGATGCATGTATTATGTCACGCTTAAAGGGAGAGGAGTATAGTCGCTATATAGTATAGCGACTATAGAGAGGAGTGGTGTAAGATTTTGTGACAAGGAATGCATTAGGTATAGGAAAAACGTGACGAAAGAGGGAAGGGAGGTTTATTTTTACTCAATTTAGCATGACATAATAAATGCATGGCGCCCAACTGCTACTTTGTTAACAACAATTATATTCCAAACAAATATCTCTATACGGGGCAAAAGTGCCACCCCTACATTTATGTATGAAATTATACAAAAATGATCAGAAATTAGCACATGGGCATTTATGGTCCTGATAGACATTGTTATTGCGAAATTTTGCAAAACAAACTGTATTAAATAATGTCTAACATAATTCCCATTTGAATTCTGTGACGCAAATGGTTTATATGTTTCGTATAAGAAAATATCGCTATGTTCAATATTTTAATGGATTAAACAATAAAAGCTCTTGCTGGCATGCTTAAGAATAGTAAGTACTGTTTATAAACACTTGTTTTATCTTTCCACTACATTTTAGACGTATGGCAAGAGTGTTACTCTTGCCCCATAGCTTTTTTGACATTTCTAAAAAATCATGAACATTTTAAGTTGTATTTTAATTTAATTAATCATACATGAAGACAATGTTTTAAACTTGCAATTAGGTGCACAAGCTCCTATAAATATTCACGCAATCGCATATGTCAATGCACTATAGTTAGGGTGACTTTCTTGCCCCTAGTTCCCTTGCAATCAGAAGATAAATATTTAACTAGAATTCAAAATCTCATTGAACAGGTCCCGTATCATTTCCAATAAGATCGTCGTTTATCCAAATAACAGAACCTACGTCCACACGCTCTAATCGCCTTATTCGCTTCCGAGAGACGAACGAGGTCAAACCAGTGTCTTCTTTGCGGTACTACGTTTTTCCTCTTCCTCCTCCTGCTGCTGCTTTTGCTACCGTGCCGTATAAGCAGCGTATCCACAAGCAGCAAAGCAAGGCAAAAATTGGTGTCACCCATTCAGCACCGGACGAAAAAATCCCGCTAATGTCTGCGCCTTAAAATAGAACCTTTTCCGGGCTGGACCGACTCGCTTACCTCGATCGCTGGTATCCATCCTGGCTCCGTCGTTACGCAAACACCGTCTGGCTCGTATCCAACTGGAACTCAGTAGGTATATTGCTAATGCTCACACAGTGAGTGAAAATTTCACGTCTTCCTCCTACTCTGGTGGCGAAGCGAAAACCTAACGGGAATCGACAGGGCCCCGGACTTTTATCAGACCAGCCACACTAGCACTGACTGAAACTCCACACACTTCACTAAAGAAAGCTTATCAGAGTAAAAGGTAAATGTACACAAAACTCTGCTCCACTCCTTCACGGCGTTACGTCGTCACCCGGTTCTTGCACTTATGAGTAAACACAACACCGCTTTTCGATTGCACGAGGGTACCGATTACTGGGGATCACAAAAATAAAATTGCAAAACGCGACGACACACAAAAATCAACAAACGTCGTCGTCGTCGCTCGCTCATTCGTTCTTCTCCGCGGACCACAATCATTCGAACATGGCGGCGTCCGGATTTATGCTTTCACCTTGATGTTTGACGTTCCCGAGTGCTGTCAAAATTACAGGTTCGATGAACTCGTTCCGATGGGGAAACTTTCGCACTTTTCAACCTTTTCCACCAGAATTCCTATGCTACAGACAATAGGACGTACAAGTTTACATTTTTAACTAATGAACAACAACAATCGGAACATTAACTTCCAACAATTTCAACAGCTAGAATCGAAACAAAATTCCCGAAATCCGCAACGACGGCGAGGGCAAACCAATCGCGAACGAAACACAACACCGAACCGATCGCAGACCGGATCGTGACCACGAAGGAAGTGAAACACGAACTCCGACAGTGTTTTAGTACACACCTGAGCGGTGCTGTCAAAATCATCATAATCGCTTCACCCGTCGTTTGTTTATGGTTCGGCATTAAATTCCGTTGCTGTGGCTGCCGCTCTCCAAAAATTCCTTTGCGCAAAATGTTCGAAGCTGCTGCTCGTCTTCAGGCCCACAATCAGGAAATGGTCAAGTGCATCAGTCAGCTGCGGACGCAGCGCCAGAGGCTGGCCGACAAGGTCACCCACCAGGAGCACGAACGGGCCGTACTGGAGCAGGAAATCCGCAAGCTACGCCAACAACTGACCGTGCTTGACGAATCACTTGTGCAAAACCGCAGAAAGCTGGAGGAACAGGACACAAAACTGACCGAAACGGAAACCGGGTACAATAAACTGGTAGACACGATGCACGTCCTGCTGATGTCGGTCAAAAAGGACGAGAAGGAGTTTGGCAGCCACTCGTCGAGGCAGACGAAGAAGGATGCCAGCTAAGATTCAGTGTGTAATTCCGTTAATTTATTAAAATAAAACAACTTAGCTCAATACTTGATAGGGATGGACAAAATAGAGACGTTATGACACTAAGGAACTTCTAATTAAATATATTAAGATTATTTTTGGTAAGAAACTACAAAAAATGTGTATCATTTTCGTTCATCGCTACTACATGCAACCTGTTTATCACAATCAGTCTAAGTAAAGTCTGAAAACTGACTTTCGAAGTAAGAACGGCGCTGTTTTCTCTAGAAAACTTCAAATTCCTACCCTGAAATTCTAAAGAAGAACTTGTTGCCAAAAACCGATTTTCTCCTATAAACTTCCTAATTCTACAAATTGATCTTGAATTTACCTCTTTCGTTGACTTTGCTACTGCTACTGTTTATGTATAAATGTATTGTGGGTATCGTTTGACCTGTTCTGATTTCAGTGGGGTGTTTTTATTTTCCTATTTGTGGGAGAGTAGATTCAATTCTCTTTTGGCCTCTAAAACTTCCAGCTACACAGATTATCGATGTCGTTTCAGTGACTAGACGTGCTCAGGCATAGCCAGCGGCCCGTACTTCGTTCCATGTTTTGACTAGTTCCTCCGGATCGTCGTACCCGTGGGTAGCAAGCACGTACTTGTAGCTCTGCGGTCCCAAGAAGGGTGCCTTGTGGAAGTAGAATTCCTCCGAGTGCAACGGTTCAATTCCTGCCTTAAGGGCAACGATGCCCAAATAAATGTCATCAAATCTGGAATCAAATTGAACACAGTTTGAAATCCCTTCCTTCCTATAATTCAACAAACCGGCCAACCCACCTGAAATGCTTCGTGTACATGCTCACGTAGTACATCTCGAATAGCGCCTCGTGCGACAGCAGAAACGCCCCGGCCGTCACGTAAGTCGGCCACATATCCCAAGGGTACTCTTCGAGCGACACGTACCACTTGCTGCTCCGATGCCGGTGCGGAGCCGACCGGAACACAAATCCCGAAAATAGCTTCACATCCCGCGGCAGCTCCATATCCATGTTCAATATCTGCCGTTTCACCCTGCCGACGGTTTCGCTCGCATTATTCTTCCCTTCATCCGTTTCCACGCCCGCAGATTCAGACCCATTGTTATTACCCGTCGTCTGACTTAACCTGCGTGCTAGCTTCCGCAGGGCTTCATCCGTTTCCTCCAAATATTCCGGATAGTTCACCGGATTCCTAACGTACTTGAGCAAATTTTTCGACGAAATGAAGAAATCATCGTCCGCAAACATGTAAAATTTGGCCCGGGGACAGTAGCTTACTGCCCATCGGAAACCCATCAACGTTTTGATCGTGTTGTTGAAGTATGCATCCACGAAATCACCCTGCACAATGTCCCGGTAGTTGGCATACTCCAAATCGATCAACGACTGAAGCCGCCGATTCGGCGCGGCCGGTCGACCCAACACAAACACCGTCCGGATCATTACGTCGGAAAATCGCTTCTCCCAACCCCATGATTTGCGGATCGCCACCCGACGGTCAAAGTTTTCCATGGCAGATTTTACGATAAGCACCAACCGCGGGGCAATCATCCGGTCGTCTTCCTTGCACTTGTGCTGACAATCCGTGATGTACGTATAATTATACCCATTGATCGGCTCCACAGCCGGTCGCTGACCGTGTCGGAGCTGATACACGTTGGAGAGGATGTCACCCTCCATCGGGTAGGTGAAGGTCTTCTCGAAATCCGCCTCAAACATGTGGGTAAATGCGCCAAAGTATCCTAGGACCAACAGCAACATTATCACCGACACCACATATTTGAGCCGAAATTTGATGCAAATCCGGGGAAGCATTTTGTTGCTGATTACTTCAAACCTATCAAACAAAAACACTCGTCATTTATATTTCGTAAAAACAGCAAATTAGTTGCCCCCATTGATTACCTGTTCCAATTAAAATCCTTCTTGAATCCTGTAGTCACGCCTTACATAATTAGGATAGTTAAATTAGTGATTATTTTTGGAAATCACTAACCACGCCGGTTTGTTGTAGCAAAAGCGACACACTAGACCCTAAGCTATAACATAAAAATCCATGTTAGGAAGCAAATTAGCCCGATATTTCGATATTTTTAGCTTTAAAAACAAATTCAATGACTGCAACCTGTTTGGCTTTCCGAAGGAAAAATTTTGTTCGCGATGCGGGTAGTTTGACATCTGAAAGACGGAGTTTTTGTTTATTTACGTGATCGATCCGCTGTGGGCCATCTAAATGTCTGACATTGTAAACATATTGTCTCTTTCACTCTTCCGCTGTTCTAGCGCAACAGCGAGTGTGGTGTCAAACGCACAGTTCCTCTTATACCCAAGGAAGTGAATGAGGTGGCTAGTTTCACTTTACCATACCTGTTCCCCTAGACATGGCAATGCAGGATCATTCAAAAATATGCCGAGGGGTTCCTCGCTATAGGTTGGAAACGCCCACAGCTGGTCTAAAATTGTCGGAGTATACTCGGATTTATTTTAATTACAGTCATCATTCGCTTGTTGGGGGTTTTCTCGTCAGGGTGCTAGTTAGTTGGGAGTTCCCGCATAAACCGAGGCATAAACAATAACCATATACACTAATGAAATTTCAAAGATTGTTTTTATGTGTCCCAAACATGCATTTTGCAATTTTATCAATAAATAATAGCTATGTGTCGTTAAGTTTCATGTGTGCTTCTATAGGTGGATTCTGTTTATTTTTGTGGTCACATGAAAATCAAGATAATCATGTGGATTTTTACATGGAAATACGTCATTAAAATGTGTGGAATTGTATTAGTGTAGAAAGTCCGGGTGAAATGCATCGCTTCCTGAATAGAAAGTTTTGCCATTTTATGCTTCATTGATTCTTTAGCAGTGCTCTTTCTGTTCTGTGTTTGCATCCAACATGTTGACGCTCGCTCACCTTTCTTTTTTTCTTTGGTTTGTTTTCCATCGATCTTGTTTTCCGTGCTGAGCACCAATGCTACCGACGCCAGGGAGACAGCTCCCACACCTGGACCCTACCTATCGATCCATCAACTCATGAACCGGGGATCAACGGCTTTACTTCCCTTCCGAAGAAAGGCCTGATCAGAGATGTTATCCCTAATAATAATTGTATGGTTAATTTGCTTAACGACGTGTTCTGGGTATCATCCAAACCATTTGTGGAATAGTTCAATGATTTGGGTTATCGTTCGTTTATGGTTATTTTTTATTAGGGATGCCTCAGCAGTGATGGAAAAGATCGCAAAAATCACTATGACTCGCGAACTTTTCCCTTGGAGAACTTCGTGAAATATCGCGAACTTTTCCAACACTGTGCCTCAGAACATCCCGGCGGCGCCGACTGGGATTGAACCCAGGCCTGCTTGGGCGAGAGGTAATCACGCTTACCACTACACCACCGGCGTCACTGACGCTCCCTTTTTGTCACGAGGAGGTACACACAAAAAATAAACGTTACTAGAATAAAAAAAAACCGTTGATAGAACTAAAAGTTTGCATTGGTTCTTTTTGGTAGAACGCGGTTAACTTTCAAAACAAAAGTTAGCCAACTGTTAATTCAAAAGTTTTTTTTTTCCTCTGTAGTATATCCCGTGTTTAGTGCATGTCGTATTACTCCATCACTATTGAGAAATGATGAAGTATTCGATTTTTTTACAGTTGTCACTCTTGTATTTATCGTAAGGATCCGACTCTAATTGAAAGGTCCCGCTATTTATACCCTTCGAAGTGTTGAAACACTCTCCAAAGGCGCACCCCTTTGTCAATCAAAATTGGATTCCTTAGCAACAAAATTAAGGTATGACACCGATAATGACCATGCATCAGAACCCTAGTCTTAACCACTTCAAACTAGGGAACAACGAATAGAAGATTAGGAATTACATAGATGAAGACAACTAACTCATTTTTTTTCCTTGTTTCAAGATCATCCTCGGTAGACAAAGCCGAGTCTTGCGAGGGGGACGACTCTATCTACGATGCAAAAAAGATTGTGTTTTGCTGTGGCTAGCTGCGCGCACGCTGAGTAGATAGAAAGAAGATTTATGACGATTCTGAAGATTTCCTGCAAAAAGATGATGCGCGATGCAAATAGATGCGACAAATGAAAGAAGATTTTTCGAAGACTGATTCGCTAGTGTGAGATTTGTTGAGCATCTAAACTTGAGATTTAGATGTGTCGCCCCCCTCGGAGTCTTGTCACTATCAACAAGGCATAAAAAGTAACAAGGACTAAGATGTGTTCCTTGGATTACTGAAAAATCATGTTCCCCTAGTCAGGAACTAGGGAACAACTAATAGAAGACTAGGAATCACATATATGAAGACAACTAACTCATTTTTTCCTTGTTTAAAGATCATCCTCGGTAGACAAAGCCGAGTCTTGTCACTATCAACAAGGCATAACAAGCAACAAGGACTAAGATGTGTGTCGTATCCTAGATTTTTTTTTTCCACATTAAAAACTCGACTTGCTTCCACAAGACTAGTTCACAGAATGACGCCTGAGCTCCCTCCAGTTTTTCTCCTCCAAACACACATTCAAGATCCCCTTCACTTCCGGGTAGTACTTTGCGTTTCTTTTTCATCGCTCGTTTCAGTTTGCGTTCGAAACCATGGAGCTACACTCAGATAAAATATACACTGATTATATTTTAAAGAAATGTCATATTTGTATTATTAATATTATTAATGTTTTTTTTATTATTGTTATTATTATTATAGATCGATCTTACTTGAATGAAATATTAATTATTATTGCTATTTTATTCTCGTTGAATATGATGTTTTTTTCGTATATAAATAAATAGCATATACATAATAGGTAGAAACCATCACACGATTAAATCTAATGATAATCCAATCAAATCTCAACATTGTAATAGTATTTATTTTCTATCGGTATATAAATATACATGCGAGTACTGTAGCGAATATTCATACCCAGTTTTCGAGAAACTTACAAGATCATATCAACCGTGTATGTACCTAAATCTCCATTGTGACGTTGTAATGTTTCTTATTAATGTCGGCTCACATCCATATTCTATGTATTTTTGACTGCTGACTCGGACCTTCGAATTCTGACTATTCAATTGTCAAAATTAACTTGGTTTGTTATTGTTGGTCTGTCTTGATCACTACATTCTTCCCCATCTCTACTCTTGAAACATTACTTTGTAGGTATCTTATTGGAATCTTATCTATTATCAAGACATTATTTCATATTTACATCTTTCTAAGTGAATCTGCAGAACTATTTCAACGTTTATAGCTGACCGGCAATCGACACTCATCTTTCAACAAGATCTTCATGTCATCTCGAATTAATTTTATCTACGACAGATGAATCCAGCAGAAATGTTTTATATTCTGTTTTTTTTTTACCACACGCACACACATAACATTACATACCTCACAAACAAAAAGAATAGTACTCGATTTAAGCTAAGCCAAAGTAGGTCGTATTTATTTTTCAGTTCGAACATTGTATTTGGTTTCTATAGCGATTCCGAAACAGTTTTCTCTTCACTGGAAATCATTTTTCTCAGCGTTATCTAGTGAAATACATGGTAAAGGTAGTTATCGTTGAATCTTGTTGGACGTTTGATCAAATTCCTACGGCGAAGTGTTCGAGGCTCATCAGCTTCATCCGAATGCTGGAGTGGATTCAAGTTTTCATTCGTTAAAGTCTCTGCAATATCATCCAGTCTTGTTATTTCGTTACCAACAGCTTCATCGAGAAATTCAGCGTCCGCTGGAGCAACCGAAATCCCGAAGTTGGGTGCTTTTTTTATTTCCCGAACGTTTCTTGTATATTGAACGCCAGTTTGACTCATTATTACAACTTTTGCTCCCTCCCTAGCCACAACTTTAAATCGTTCCGTCGAAAAAATAGGATCTGTCTTTGACTTTCGTTGTTGTGCAAGCAGCACCACGTCTCCAACATTGATGTCGGACTCCTTAGCACCACGTACCTGGTCTGCATACTTTTTGCTGGAAAGTTTCGATTCTGCGTCGCGGTCTCGGAGATCTGCACGGTCAAGGTCCTTGCCATTTTGGCCTCCCCACAGGCTAGGAAAAGTACCCCGGTACTTCCATCCCACCATCAATTCGAATGGGGTCACTACAAGTCGAGAATGAGGAACCAGTGTGTTGTGCTTGTGAACATATTCCTGAAGAGCGTAACGCCAATTCGTGCCGTCCAGTCTAGAAGCGGAAAGTGCCTTGATGATACCTTGGTTCTGTCTTTCGACAGCTCCATTTGACTGTGGACTAAGTGGTATCGCTTTACGAACTTTGACTCCTTTTCCTTCCCAAAAGTTGTTGAATGTCGCGCTTTGGAATGGAGGTCCGTTATCACTTTGGATTATCACAGGTAACCCCCAAGTTTGGAAAACTTTACTCAAAGCAAAATTTGTACTTTCTGCATCCATAGATTTCATTTCAACAACCAACAAATATCGGGAGTATGTATCAATAACAATCAAAAACTCACCTGTTCCAAAATTATTGACCGACAAGAAATCTATTTGTAGAATTTCCCATGGTCCATCAGGAAGTTCTCTAGATGCAAGTGGCAATGGAGGATTACGTTTGCACAATAGCGCACATGTTTCACAATTTTTGATGAATCGTGTGACTTCCGAGGACATCTTTGGCCACCAAAAAAACTGACGCATAATCCGTTTCACGGCCACTTCACCAACGTGACCACCATGAGCTGAATTAAGAGCTTTCCCACGTAGAGATCGAGGCAGGATCACTCGTTCATCTTTGAATATCAAACATCCCAGGTAATGTAATTTTTTCTTCTGTGCTTCGTATGCCCGTATTTTATTTGGCCACTTCTTGGTCTGCAGCGC